TTCATTAGACTATAAGATATCCATCATAAAGACCTATCTAATTCACAATAAAAAAAACTAGAATTAATATTCATTAGACTGTAAAAATCCATCATAAAGACCTGTATAGTTCACAACCAAACAACTACAATTAGTGTTGGTTAGACTGTAAAACTCCATCACAACCAAAACAAACTAGAATTAATATTCATTATACTTTAAAAATCCATCATATAGAAACTATCTAATTCACAACCCAAAATAACTAGAATTAGCATTACTTAACACCCAATAGACTGTAAAAATCCATCATATAGACCTATCTAATTCACAACCCAAAATAACTAGAATTAGCATTACTTAACACCCAATAGACTGTAAAAATCCATCATATAGACCTAACACCCAATGTTAGCATCACTTAACACCCAATAGACTGTAAAAATCCATCATATAGACCTATCTAATTCACAACCCAAAATAACTAGACTTAATGTTCAATAGACTGTAAAAATCCATCATAGATCTATCTAATTCTAACCAAAACAAACTAGACTTAATATTCATTAGACTATAAAATATCCATCATAAAAACCTATCTAATTCACAACCAAAAAAAAACAACAAGAATTAATGTTCATTAAACTGTAAAAATCCATCATAAAGACCTATCTAATTCACAACCAAAAAAAAACTAGAATTAATATTCATTAGACTGTAAAAATCCATCACAAAAACCTGACTAATTCATAATTAAAAAAAAAAAATTAATGTTGGTTAGGCTGTCAAAGTCCATCATAAGAATCTAGCTGGTTATCTTTCATAAGTCAGAGTTAATGTTAGCATTACTTAACACCCAACTCTCCAAATAATTTCACTATGCTTTGAAGAAATTTGCATCATAGACTTAACTCACCATGTTGAGTGTTTTAATCAGTTTCTTTTGAAATTTTATTTTCAATAATTACATTGTTTTAAATTCTTTATTACCATGAAATAACTTAGATGCATTTTCTAAATAGATGCTTTATTATTATTTTTTTTGGAATACCCTGCAAGTAACTACCGAAACAGAATTTTTTTGAATAGCTTATTTTTTATAGCATACTGTGGAAGTATATACTGAGAAGAGTGTCTACAAATAACTAATGAAAGGGTTTAAAAATAGCTGGTTCATTTTCGTGGGATATATTGCAAATATGTACCAAGAAAAATGTAACTGATTTACTTTTGCAGGAAAGTGGGAGTGTCCATGGCATCATTGTGATGAATGTGGTAAGACCTCAGTAATGCTCTGTGTTGAGTGTCCCAACTCATTTTGCAAAGAGCATGGTACACCAGACAATATTTTGGTTGTGGATGGACACTTTTATTGTACTGACCACAAAGAAGATACGAAGTCCGAAGTGAATGACTCACCAGCTGCTAATTTAACAGATGAAGAAAATAATCCTTCATAAAACAGTATGCCAATCCTAAAACGTTAATGAATATATGAAATGAAGACTTGGGTTGAAATCAATAGTGGTATTGTGACTTCACATGAAAATATTCACAGGGTTTTTCAAATGGTTTTTATAAGTTCCATCTATTGCATCACTGCCATTGTCTTTTTTACTGGTTATTCCGCATATTAAATTGTGGTCCTGTTTTCACTATTCCAAAGTGTTGTAACCTAACTTTTGTATTTTTATCATCAGTAATAAATACAAAACTCTTTATCAAATAACTAACTTTTTTTGAGGTGTGACCTTTGAGTCAATGAACTAAAAGAATACATCAGTAGTGACATGTAGAATATAAAAGAAATTTAAGTAATGGTAAGTTTGCAAATTATTATAGACTATCTGTAAAAATTTGACTAGATAAAATATGGATTCTTTGAGCTGAGAGTTGGAGCAGTCATGTTCAGCAGTTTTAATGAAGAAAATAAATTTTTTGGTTAAATGTTTGACAATGCTGAATACTCTGCTGTCATGTGGATTTGGCACAAAGCCTAACAGTATATTTTTTACATTATATTCTCTATCAAACATAGGTACTTGACTGTGCAAGATTTTCACTGGTAGTAGCTACCTACAATAAATTTTTTTGTCTATTAGGTTTTTCCACAACTAGTATTGAAAATGTCTCGTGTATCATAACACATCAAGGAAAGTGCTCCACTTGTTTCCTAAAATATTGACAGGGCAAAGCTAATTTATGGAACAGAGATCTAGTTTAATAAAATCAGTTTTAATTATTTCATTTCATAGTATACTTACATAATGTTATACTTGCTGTTGTCACTTTATTTCAAATTTTTGTAGTGTGATTAATCTTGATGTAAAAATAAATAACAGTTTCTAATATCTTCAACATGTTCTTTCTCTTCTATAACTGTTACTATTAATAATTTAATTTCAGTCTCGAATATAATTTGAAGATAAACTGTGTATCACGTACCTAAAATAGTTCAAGCACTTCCTGAGAAACGTCAAGGTTTTTTTTCGGTTAGAAATTAATCTGTCCTAAAAATAATTTGCTTAATACTGGTACAGTTCTTGTCTTCTGTGCAAGTAAATGCAGTAATGAGAAGTATATGCAATTTTTCTGATATGATTAAATGAAAATGTTTCTTATTTGCTTACAAGAAATCTCGCTAATAAGTTACTACACAGAAATAAGTCTTAAGCCTTTAGTAACCAAACACTTTATACTCCCAGGAACAAGCAAGAATTGGAAAATTTTGTGAAATATAACAAATGTATATTTGATTAAATATGGAAAAGTCTTGGTGTACTTTGTATGCTCCTATGACAAGCAGGGGAATAAACACAGTTGCTTCGTTAATGATGACTGAAAATCTAAAGTTCAACAAAGCCAGACATTGTACAAAAGAGCTAAATAATCAATTACCTTAAAATGATCTTCCCTGAAGAAATAAAATCCTTAGTTACATATTTATATATTTTAAGATCAACTACACTTCTTGACCTACAGTCAATCAGTTATCGATGCAATAAGAAATGCTGCTTTATTTGCAGCTTTGTAACTCTTCACAAAGAGTCATACAAAACATCACCAAACAGAAAAGTGCTTAACACTTCCACTGCTATCTACGTATTTCCACGCATGGTCCCAGTGGCTAACTATAAGAATCTTCAGTTTTTTACCCACACTAAAGTTCTGTACATTCTGTGCCATCTGTAAGTAGAAGCATAAACTTATAATGAGTGTTTTAGAAAATACATTAGTCAGCCTCCATTTTATTTTGGTTGTTATGGTAATTTGTACTTTGTATGAATATTACAGAATCAAAAATACAACTTGAATTTTCAGATTATTTCCGGGACTTCTAAGATGGCGGTGCCCATGAAACAAGCTTCTCATTATTCTGGTGAAGATAGTTTGCAGGAAATATTCACTGATGAGGACTCTGAATCTAATCATTTTAGTGATAATTCAGATGTAGAGGATTCCAAGGAATATAGTATAGATGATGAAAGTGACTCAAATAATAACAATGAATCAAGTGATGTGGACATGCCAGTCCATGTAGGCCTAATACTAGCAGTAATAATGGTGCTTAAGCTGATTGTGCTCAAGTACCTGGCTGTGGGAAAGGTTGTTCCAATTGTAGTTAGGGCAGGAGAAATGAAAATTGGGTGGGGAACTGGAATAATGTAGACAGACCTCCATGTGTACACCAGTTCACTGGTATTCCAGGTATAAACATACAGCCAGATAATACAGAGAGCTGTCTTCAATGGTTCAAACTGTTTATTACTGATGAACTAACAGACAATGTTGTAAGAAAGACAAATCTTTATGCTGCATAATTTTTTCAGGAACACCAAGATTTGAAAAGATACTCCCATCCTAGACAATGGAAGGATTTCACTTCTGGTAAACTTTGGCTGTTTTTGGCCCTTCTCTGCAGCAAATCTATGGTGGTCTCCTGTATGGGTTTGGCTACAAGGTATACATGGACAATTACTATAACAGTGTGGCCCTATCCAAATTTTTGCTGGCAGATAAACAAAAGATCCATGTGTGTGGAACTTAGACTGAACGGAGGTGCCCTTCATGATTTGCAGCATGAGAGTCGGGTGGTGTTTGTTGAGATGGAGATGTGTTAGTGTGGAAAGACAAATGACCAGTAAAAATTATCTTCACAATTCCAGGATGGAGGAATGACAAGGACAATCAACCTATCCAAAAATCAGTTTGTGTGTTCGATTAAAACAGACATGTGTCTGGTCTTGACGAACTAGAACAAATGGCAAAATATTATACTTATACATGGAAAAAATTTGTTCTATATATATTTTAACTTTGCATGGCCAGTTCACATATTTTGTACAATTAGGCAAATCCAGATAAAAAGACTTGTTGCTGAATTTCAGAATGAAGGTGATTGGTGGCATTCTGGCATAATTTGGACAGGCAAAAGCTGCCCATCTTCCTCTGATAGTCAAGAGAAAGCACTCCAAGCTGTGGCAGGTCCTCAAACATCGAAGATTGAGCCTGCCATACGTCTAATTGGTGGAATCAAAGAACACGACTTGGTGGCCATGCTACCACCCAATAAAATAGAAATACCCTACTAAGCCATACAGAGTTTGCAAAAAAAAAGAAAATGCTCAGAAACAAGATTTTATTATAACAGATGTGAAGTCCCACTCCACAAAGGAGAATGAAACAAAAGATACCATGTTTATACTCATTTCTGATTAGGTAAGGTATTTGTACATATGTACATGAATATTCATTACTGTGAAACACTGAAGGTGTTATTATTTTAAGTGATAAAGTAGGCAGCTTGAAAGCATATCTTTTCTCAAAAAATGGTTAGCCAGTTGAAAAAGAGGTTAGCAGTAAAAATATTAAATTGTAAAAGTTAAAGCCTCATGCAACATTAAGCCACATTTTCCAACAACTACTTAACCCTTCATGATAATAAAAAAAATTATTAACTTAATGTATACTTCAACTCACTCCACCATTCTATTCACAATCTTTCTGGCTACTCCCCATGGTTTGGAAATTGAAAAGGAAACCTACAATTATTCCATTCTGAATGCTGTCTTTTCTCGTGATATTAATCTTGTTCTATGTAGTACTGAAATGCAATAACTAGTTTCTTCACCCCCCTCCTAATTTTAAGCAATTTCCTTTTAGTTAACTTTTTCCATAAGAAGTGAATCCATTTCCTCCTTTTTTTTCCTTGAATTCATCATCTTGAGAGATCTTTAATTTTGTCATAGTCAGAACTTCAACTATTAACCTTTTCACATGTTTTCTTTTAGTTTTATTACATGTACTTTTAACCACCATCTTCTATGAAAAATAATAAATCACAGAAACAACCTTAGTTTAGTCATGTCTTGAACACCACAAGCCAAAACTGTTGGGCTTAACTTTTTTCAACAACTGTTCAAATAAAAACATCCTGTAGGTTTCAAATATGCATTTTAGAACAAAAAAATTTTTTAAGCACTGGAACAGCATGTTTCAAAAATACTATACTGACTTTCCAAATAGGTTTAAAATATTCTGTAACACTTGGAGCAAAAAATCACCAAAAAGAAATACTTCTGCTGACTAATGATTTACACAAGAAATTTAAATGACAGCCCTATAACATTAAATTGAGGATAAAATGCCCTTTGTTATAAACGCATTCATCGGCTTTGTAAGGACTATTAGCAGTGGTATATATAAAAAGACAGAGGGTCTTCTCTGGTGGACTTGACAAATGTATTAGTATCTCCACAAATCAAGAAGGTTCAAATTTTAGATTTATGCTTGTAATTATGTATAGTTTGTATTTCTAATTGCTTGGACACAGTTGTAGTAAGTAAAATATGACAAATATAAGGGAGAATTCATAGCACAGTCATCACTACAGATCATTGAAAATTGGAACTTGTTCTAAATATTTTCTTTTTTAAGTGGAAAACTCAAACTTACATAATATAAATATCCCAATTACAAACTACATTTCAGTACCAAGTTTATTGATATACACAGAGAATTATTTAATTAAACTTTGAATGAAGCTGTAAAAGTTCATGAAATGTGCACTCTGACCCAGTTGTACAGAAGGCTAAATTTAAAAACTAATTGTATAGATGTGAAACCAAATGACACTAAACCTCACTATACATGTTAGTAAAAAACTCAAGTCTTCACACTGCCATTTCAAAAGGTTTGAGAAATAAAAATATTTTTCTCCTCTGCTCTTAGTTATCCATCCTGTTATGCTTGCATTACACTACAATCAACAAGACAGGGTAGGTATCATTTGCTGTGCAATGACATGCACTGTATCTTTAGGCACCACCACTGACTAATCATGAAATACATTACACTTTAAGAATTCTCTACCATTTTTCCTCTATTGGTGAAAAAATGGTCCATGTTTAAAAAATACTTGATCTGAAAATGTTCTGTTCTCAAGGATTCCAATTTTAGTAATACAAGTACCACTGGCTACTAGCAGTTTATAGAGTAAGATAATCCAATTTTATATAAACTGCTAGTAGCCAGTGGTACTTGTATTACGAGTAAGATAAATTTATTTTATCTCATGAAATAACAAGAGACCTGATGGGCCTTCACTGCTTCACCAACTTTTCAGTTTTAAACATAGAAATATTAAAAACAACAACAGTAAATTATTTCACAGGATGCTTTAATATATCTTGAGCATGAAAGTTTATTATAATTCACATTAAATATAAATCAAGTATGCCTGACTTAGTACACATTTAGTACAAACTCACCTAATACATAGAATATAAAAATTTGAATTGATATTTTATTTACTAACCAGAAAGAAAAACAAAAAAAGATGTATCCTGTATGCTGTGGACTCAAAGATTTTCAAATATTCCTTCTTTGAAATAAAACAATTTTATCAAAATACTGTGGAACCTATCATGCTGGCTTTTATTTCATGACTCAATTATTATGATATTAATTACAAACTGTTAAAATAGCTTGATGTCAGTAATTATGAAGAAAAGTTTCAAAATCATTTATTGTGAGGATTCTGAAAAGCAAAACAGCAGTAACTATACTGCTAATAATCCAACATTTTGAAGAGAAAAACTACTTATTCTTAATTCCACTTTTAGTCAAACACAGCAAAAACATGCCCTAGTCTGAATAGGATGTGTTGAAAACAGTTACCAATGGATTTAGCACTTGTTCGAAATTACTAAAAATATATAAATTTACATGTCTATTTCTTTTTTTCTGGGGGGGGGGGGATGACACAATGAATAGAACTATATCTTAAGAACTTTAATCCAGCTAAAAAATTATTGATAGAAATTATTTATTGTAAATTATGGAACTGCTCACAAACATATCACTGATGGAAATTTTCAAAAATTCTAAAGTTAAAAAAAACTACTTTCTACCATTAGGTTTTAATATGATAAATGTTACAATATCCTCTTTTAAGAATAAACCTCTCAACAAGCCTGACACCATTAACATTAAAAAATTTTTTATAATTGAGCATTTTTTTGTATGAAATTTTCATACCAGTTACACTTGATTTTTTGTAATATATGTCAAATATATAATTTAAATATATCAGTGGCTTTTGGCATGGCATCTTAACAGCAAAATAGAGAGCCCTTCAAATATTTTTTTTTGAATTAGAAATATAGTTTGGTAACCAACAAAAAATCTAGAAGACTTTTTTTCACACACATATTACATAAAATATTAATCTAACATGAGAAACAAAGATAACTAATTTTTAATGAAAAATGGACAACCTCAAAAAATTAACAAAAACAAGACATATTGCTGCCTGTCTTCTAGTGGAAGAGTACTTCTACCTAAAGTTAATGATTAGTATCAGTAAAGCAATCCTCAAGTTTCTGCCACAATAAATCTTGAGGACAATCATAAGCCAACTTAGTTGCTGAGCTGTTCATACAGTTTTGGAACATAATCATCCCACTGAGCTTGGTAGAAGTTGCCAGCAACTGGCTGTCCTAAGTTGTACTTCTTGGCAAAGTCTCTGATCTTAAAGTTGCCTCGGTGCTGTCCAGAGTTGTTAGAAAGTCGCTTTTCTGTGGGATTTAGATGACCTGGCTGCTTGTATACCACAAAAATATATCTATGCAAGCCTGAAAATTTTTTTAATTAAATCCATGATATTCTTGCTTACTGGCAAAACTTTTAATTGTGGTTTGGAATGTTTATTACACACACACATACACATTTGTGCTGCTACTTTTTAGAAGTACAGGTAAATTACTAAAGGGTGACTCATAATGCTGTACCCACTCAGAACAGAATTGTCAACAGTACTACTATAATCTAAAAAAACTTAATAATTGGTAACTGTATGGCAAACTTCAAATATACACAATATTTGTTTTAAAATAGAAGTAGAAGAGATCTATACAAACTGTTGTGAAAGTCATTCATTAATTTCCTCAGGAGCACTGTAGGTAGATCAGTTAAGTCTTGTTCAAATGGGAGCACTAGGTTTGAAACTATGATGGCAACAGGCTTATAACACAACAAAATTTTAAAATGGTACTACAATAAACTAATTAGACATTTTTTTGTAAAAGAGGAGAAAGGCACATCCTCGGGTGCTACAGAACATTAGTGCAAAGTCTCAGCATTCAACAAGGGTCAGCAAGAGAGATGAGGAAGAATAAATTTCTATGGGAGTCAGTATGTAACACACAGATTTGCCCAATTTGTAGTTATGATAGAGAATACATTTAAGAAGTATTAAAATAGATTTGGAAGTAAAAACTGAGGCTAAGAACATTAATTTGAAAGCCTACATAAAGATGACAATATTCCCAACATACAACTGAATTCAATCTCTGACTATATTTCAAGGTCAAAAGGCCGAACAAATGTCTTACAGGGAACTCAAGCAAATACAGCACTCACAGAGAATAAACTGAAATTTCAGAGTTCATAGCAAAACTTCCAAGAATTATTTCCAATGTCATGAGAGGAATTAATCGAATACTGATTTGTATGTTTAAGATGCAAAAGTGATGTAAATGGTTATAACTCAAATTTGAAAGATACTTACAACTTGTGAATCAATGTTATTATTCACAAACATAAACTTCAAGAAAAATAGCACCTAAAGCTAACTGTGGATTTCAGTCTTGACAATCAAGCAACATCATCACTAAATGCAAAGATATCAACCCTAACTGATGTATAATAGGAATGACAGCCTAAAACAATTAGAATCTTAGAAGAAAAATAGGAATGACTTAATTTCTGCAAGTGCTTTCCCAATGTGAGTACATATGTTTTTTTTCAATTATTTTAGACAATTTAAATGCAACAGTTGGCAATATATTCATATTTAAGTTGCTCCAACACCCATGCTTGACACGAGTTCCATATCATGCCATTTCTGATTGTTGTTGTTTTTTCTATTTTACACCTAACAACATAAGCATCAGACTTGAGCTATTTTTATGTTGTATTATTTCCATTTTAAAATTATTTCTTTAAACTTTTAAAACATTACACCAATTCAAGATAAAATTCAGGAAAATATCACATCTTCAGTTTAACCTAACTAATAACAAAACAATTCAAGTTTTCTCTTTGGTTACTTATTTTTTCATTTACAGCTGGTTCATAGTTATGGGCAGGCCCAACTTATTATCATTTAAGGAAGACCAGAACAAGCTAAAGAGTTAAGAAATGCCAGCAGCATATTTGTATTGGGATATAAAAAAAAAGATATTAAGACTTTCTCAATTAAGAAACCAGATCAGTAACTAATCTTAATATGCATTAATATGGGTAGAATATCAATCAAACCAAGATCAACATTTTAAAATGTATGTTTAATGCACTCAATACCATAATTATGAAAATATTCCTCTATACATACAATACTTTGACTTGAATTATTTTTAACCCACCTGTTCCTTTAGGAGGACCAGACCCAATATACTGTGACATTACCTCACCCTTATCAACTTCTGACCCAGGAATATTAACCACTAACCAATGGTGCCATTCACGGAACTTAGGGTTTTGTCTGCTAGGAGCATCAGGGTCTGTATTATGAGAGAGAAAATTAAATATACAAATTACTGATAGCAAATAACACAAATAGTAAAATCCAAAAACAACAAAGCATATATATAACTTTGAATGTGCACGATTTCAGATACTATTTACAAACAATCAAACACAGAAAAGTTGTTCTTAAAATGTGAGTTAGCCAAGTAACCAAAGTAAATCATAAACAATTAAATCATTTTGTTAAATGCAGAACAGCTTTATTATTGAATACACAGTATATTACTCTAACCAACTTATCTTCATAACTTTTATCTAATTATGAAGACATTTTCTTCAACAGTAGTTCCACAAAAAGGTAAAGAAACACAAATATCCAAAATTTACAAAATGAAATTTTAAGCAAAAATATTAACTAAATAAAAATTATTTACTACATTGATGATATTCAGTTTGTTTTGAAATGTATGATACTGACACCCGGAAAATGCTGTCAGTATGTTTGATGTTAAACACAAAGTTACACAACTGGCCATCTGTGCTTTGCCCACAGTGGGTATCAAAACTAAATTCCAGAGTTTTGTTTTAGCTGTCCCATGTCAGAATAACTGATTGGTTGAAAGTAACTGATTAGTAAGCCTGACAATGAATTGAGTAGCAATTTCCAGGATTCATTCATGTCAGAAATTACTTTTTTGTAGTAGATATATATGCTCTTCATACTTCCATTAATCATCTGTATTTTGTGAAAGTCCACACAGATGGGTTCAGTTAGCTAAGAACACCCTTTGTCAAGACAAATTATTCTCCTTATCTCTTTCAAATTATTAATCTCACTAATGTATCAACCATTAGGCCTTTCACTCCCATGACGGTTAACTTTACATTTTCTAACTTTTCACTGACCGAACTTCGCTTTCACGCGACTTTACCTTTACTCTATTTCCACTCGTCTGGTTGCAGCTATTTATACATCTATCACTTAGGCCTTCTAGAAATCTCCATAGCCTCAACATCAATGGATTGCAAATACAAAGTTTGATAGCCTTGACATCAATGAATTACAAACACAAAATAAATTAATTAATTAATAATACTACCTACACAAAACAGTCTTTTATATCTGATAATTCAGCTCTAGCATAAAATTAACTCCTCATTTGGACTTGTTTCCAAGTGCCCTCATTAGGTCAGTATGGTTGAAGATAAAGAAAAAAAAAAGTAGAAATGTTGTGCATCATTACACAGGATACATGCTCACCTCTACACAATTTGAAAACAGTCATATAGCATCTGCCTACAATCTCAATTTGAAAGATAACAGTATTTACTTAAGCAAGAAAACACTATTTTCTATGAAATTGGTTAAACTACATAGGTATTAAAATAAATATCACTTCTTACAACTAGAACTGATAAATAAATATTGATTTATGTTTAGATGTTTGACTTACCAGTCATACACAGTGTATACAATGCATTATCTTCAACAGGGTAGTTTATACGAGTTGGAGGGTCTTTCACCTGAGTTGGAGTTAACTCATTTCCAAGCTTCACTTCATAACTTCCATAATTCACCTAGAAGCATTATAAAAAGTCTTAACACCATGATAGAAGCCAGTATTTTACCATTAACAACATTTTAAATAGATACAAAACATCCACCCAAACAGTATGCATATTAAAACTAATAAGAAGTAACTATTTCAGCAACATTTAAAAGTATTAAGGAATTAATTGAATCCTTGGTAAAGATTGATAATTTTAGAAGCAGGTAAATCAAATATGGAGTTGTAATATGAAGATGCTTTGCATGTCCACATCTAAACTTGTAGAGTGATTTACCTGTTGATGAATGCTGTTAGTTTGAATTCATTCAGGTAATTTTGAATAGGCATAATGATATGAAATGTTTCACTTAGCTTAGGTTATTAATCTTGATTGTTCAGAAAGTGAAAGGAATATGAATTCAATCCAGTTTGCCTCTAGGACTAAATAACCACTCACAAGGCAGGAATTACTAACCAACAATTACTTGATTGCCACTCACTTTGTTGTAATATTATATTTAATGTACAATTACCAAAGAGATCCAAATACCTCATATGTTTTTTACATATATTTTTTTAATTATTAATGCACTTAATTGTTTTGTTGGTTGCAAGGTCCCTAATAATATAAGTCACAAAGAAACATTAAAAAAAATGCAATTAATGCTACTAATTACTGCTGGGGATTCCTTTATATTTTATATATAAATTGAGAGGTTTTATCCAATTTGTCTGTTTTTTTGTTTTTTTTACACTGAGGTTTTTACAAGCAAGAACATAAAAAATAATGGACCCCAATGGTAGTGAACAGTATTTTAAAATTCAGTGTCAAAAGTGCTTTTATAATACAGAGTATGTATTTGGCACTGTAGTATATATGTAAAGTTAATATTTTCCAACATTGAAAATATATTTTCTGATAGACACCTCCACTCTGTTAAAGCTAGGAAAGTGTAGGAAAATATTAACATCTGATATGATTACTTAACTCTTCTCACAGTTACAGCTGGAATCACACATTGAACAGGTGGAGGGACCAGTGTAAACATTACCTAGAAGAGCACCCTTCAAAAGTATGTGAAGAGCACCCATGGAGTGTGCCACTTCTATGTTGAGGAAACACACCCGTGGGAACCCACACCACATCTAAACCAGGTATACTCTTTGCCCAAGTGGAGCCAACTGGTGTTGTATCTCAATCAAAAGGCAGAATAACTGATCTATCCCAAATATAAAAGGAAGAGGAATGTGTGTAGAGTGGCTCGGGTGCATCAGACATAACTGGGAAGTTAACTCCAGTCTAGACCAGTGACACTGGGAGGAACTTAACCAGCCCCTGGCAGGAGGAGGGTCCTCAACCATTCACCTGAGGTGTAGGAACAAGAAGAGAAGCCTCCTTTCAGTGTGTACAAATTCAACACAACCTGGAACAAACTCTGGGAATGTACATCTGGACAATGACAGGAAGGTGTAAATGCAAGGTGGAGGGTAAATTCTAGTCCAAAACCAATCGGCATTGGGGATGTTACATCCAGTTCACAATAGGAAGAAGTTCCCAGTCCATTCACATGTCAGGTCTTGTGGTAGATGGTCCAGCTCCAACCAAAACCAGCTGCCCAGGAATTGACATCAGGTGGCAGTAGGAGGGAGGTTTCTCAGACAGAGGGGTTAACCACAAAATAGATGGAAAAATCCAGTCCATATCAGCGGCATCTGGAATAAAACATCAGATCCATGGAAGGAGGATAGTCATGCCATCTACTCAAGCAGAATGTCCTTGCCCTACTCTTACCCAAGTATAATTGTGTACACTCAGGAGGATTCCTCCATGATCTACCATCCCACTGGCTGGGAGCTGGGAAGTGGTAAGGACTTCTGTACTCCACTGGAAGAAGGGGGGATGAAACATCTTGGAGAGTTTGAAGGAATGCATCACCAGAGAAAGTGCAGTGGGTGACCATGAAACCCTATTATGAAAAGCTGACCATTCCCGATTCTGGCAATCTAGGGAAGAATGGAGATGGGCAGTAATCTCTTTCTACTTTACTCATAACATTTTAAGTAGGCCCCTGAAAAAACAAAAAAACACCCAGAGTTGTACCAAAGTATGGAGAATGGCTACAGGGAGAAGGCAATATGTGACAAGCAAATGAATGGCTGTGAGCCCAGAAGAGGAGATCTAGAGTGTAGGATCATAATTACTGCAATCAAGTGTTGACTGGATTGATAGAATGAATCATAACTGTCTTGCCTCACAGAGATGACAGAAATAACCATCACCTGCTGAACAGCAAGGAGTACCAAAAGGTTGATGTAAACTCATCCCAAGATCTCCTGTATAATGCAGTATGCACCCCATTCTGATAACATGGCATCAATGAAGGCCACCCAGACAAGTAGAAGGAATAGGTATCCCCATGGCCCAGAAGGATAAATGCTTCCAGCAATGCCCATATCTCCAAAATAGAGAGAACATCTTGTACAGGGAAGGTGCTAATAGTGCCCTCTGAACTAAAAACTCCATGGATCACAAAGGAAGAGGAGAAAGCTGGGCTGGACTGAGATACAAGTTGAAAAACACCTCCAGATGAACAAGATATTGAGTGGGCTGGATAACAGACTTCTTCCTCTTGATAAACCAACCCATCCGAACAGTTTCACTGAGGAGAAGTTGGGTGTGTGAGCAAGACTCTGAAGGATGGAGCCACTCATCCATAAAATGATAGAAACTGAGCCAGTGAGATGACAAACGACCAAGCCAGAAAGCACAGGGTGCCAATGTTAGCCCAAAAGGAAGAGCTCAGAATTGATAAATGTGACCCACATGGACAAAACATAGAAAATTATGAGAGGCCTGAGCAATAGGGATGTGAAGATAGGTTTCAGACACTTTGATTTTCATCATCCAAAGTCCTGGAAGAAAGACTCATTTGAGACAGAATTTCATGGTGAACAAAGGCACATCAAGGAATCGATTCAGATGGGCCAGACTGAGCACAGGATGCCAATCCCTGGTCTTCTCAGGGATGACAAAAGTTCTGGAAAGGAACCCTGGAAATATAGGAAAAACCTGTCCAATAGCACCCTTAATGAGAAGGACTTGAACTATATCTGTGAGATGCTGGTAGGAAATGGGATCTTAAGGAGTTAGAGAAAGAAACTGGGACATGGAATAAGGTGGGGGGGGGGGTGGAGGAAAAGGAGTGACAGTCTCTTGACAAAACTCGAATGACCCTAGGGTTGGTGGTAAAAGTCTCCCACACTTCTGAAAAGCAAGCGAGCCTGGCTCTCAAAGAACTCGAATACATAGGATAGTCATTGGTACTGCTCACGTTGTACAGGGCATCAGGTAAAAAATGGTACGACATGTAGATGTAGTCCAGGAAGTAGAAACTGGTAAAGGAGGACATGGAATGGGAACTGCAGAAGGAGGAGGTTGGGACAAGAGACAAGTATGAAAAGAAATGGCAAACAAAGACAATCTGGATAAGTAGTAAGAATACAGGCTTCTGCCAAAAAACCCTTGAGAGGATAAAAGAAAGCCTTGAACAACATGTGAGTGGGTGACAAATAAGGAAAAACAGGAACGAGCAAATTATGCTTGAGAAAAATGCTCTGAAGTATTGGGGTCTGAACTCCAAAAGGGAATTCATCTGTTGTCTATTGAGAAAGGATTTATAACGATGATATACGAGTGCATGAGCCTCTGAAGTATGTGGGGGCATGGCATACTAATTCCCACATAAAACGTTCAGCATGGACCCCAATATCAAGTGAAGTGGGGAAATTAAAACTCAGAACTAAGTGCTGCAGTTAATAAGGAAGGGGAAGGTCCAAGTCTGAAATTTCCTCTGCCAAAAATGTCGCACTTACAGCTATTGTCACGGACTGTTGAACGCCAGTACCACTGGTATCCATTGTAGTCGTAATAGTAAATTCAAAATTATTGACTGACTACTGGTAATTGAGTGAGAAATAGAATTCACAATCAAATAAATAAATCCAATTTGATAGTGTATTATAAACAATACATTGAAATGTGAAAATCAGTAGTTGAATATTTTTGAAACACACTAAAGGAAAAACAAAAGTATGAAATCAAGCACTGGGTCTTAACACTGCCATTCCAAATCGAGAAGTGAAGATTGGATTCAACTGCATAAAGGGAGTCAGCTTCGATAGAAGGGTGTGTCGCACTCCTATTGATGGAGGGTTGTCTTATGCTAAATTTCATACTTAAATGAAATTGAACCATGCAATACATGTAGAATTAGGTGGGAGTTCAAAGCTAGTGGCAAACAAAAATTTGCCCACTAGAAGACAGCCAAGTCGAGAATAGCTGTAACTTTGAGAAGAGGTAAGTAATCAAATCGGAACCACTCATATAATAGTAAGTCACACAAAAAAACAGTAACCAATGGTCAATAATTAGCTTTCAGTCTTATCCTTAGGCCTGTCTTGTGTGTTGAAATACATTAAATATATATAATTCATTAACAGATCTAGCCTTGCTCCATTTAAAAATTAATAAAATCAAATTCTGAAAGTTTTTTTCTTAATTTCCTAGAATGGGTACTGCAAAGCATGGTGACAATATGTTGTGTTATTATAAGATACATTTCCATGAAAATAGCTTTGCCATTATCCTTCAAAATACTCAAATGTTATACAAAGGTTTACTGGTAATTTTCACATACATAACCATTCTGTATACAATCTTTTCATGTCACCAGAAATCCTTAATTTATGCATGTGATTACAAAATTACTTACACAAATTTGTGTTCTCAGTTAACTTTTTATAGCAATAATTTCAACTTAGCTTAATACACTGTGCAAAGTAATATGAATACAGGAACAAACAAGGAGACAGGCCACTCAATCATACATTAAAGTCAACTCCTTTACCAACACTACAAGAAGAAAATATTTAAGATAAATTCTACCGTGTGTAATAAACTAAACAACATTCTATATTGTTAATAGTAAATTTTACTATGAATTACTAACTGTTCATATTATTCACTTGCATAAAATCTGATACTTTGTACATTTCTTTTTCCAATTAACAATAAGTAAGTTCCCCTTATTTCAGCTACACTAAAGAGGAGTTTTCTTTGGTCAAAAGACCTACTAATAGGAGAAAATAAGCAAGTTATACCAAGTTTCAAAATTTCTAAACAATTTTCTTCTACTTCAAACAGTCAGCTATTGTTTTTGTGTTCCTTAGGTAAGATATATTATTTCTTGTTACTTTTGTTCACAATATTCATTGTATTGTTTTTTATTTTAGATTGTTTTGTATTGTTAATTTAATAAGTATTTAACATATTCGCTGTCACAGAATAAATTAAACATTCAAGAGGTTCCAAAGAGTAGTCACAGTATCCCAAACTCATATGTCAAAAGAGAGATTTGCCTTTGAAACACAACTGTCTGTGACTCCCAGGTGGGTCATATGGTCCATAAATAAAAGTCAGTTGTGACCCACCAGTGGGGCGCATGGCAACAAACGTATTAAGACTGACTTAAATCTCCCAAGATGGATGAACCTTGTGGCATATTATTGGGATTATGGCTAAAAATACTGTTAATAGTAAAGGTACCCAACTGATGAACAATACATTTTGATGCAGAAATGTAAGAAGGGCGTACTTAATTAGCTATACTGATTGCCAGGTTGATTTTCAGCGTCACTATGATTGGAAGTTAATATTAATCAATAACTTATGGAAAGTACAAAATTTCATAAATTTTAGTTTTTGTTGATAATTCGTTTATCCTTGATAATAGTAACCTGTTGTTGCAATAGTTTTTTTTGTCCAATGCATTCTAAAAAACATTTATCAAAATATTTGTACCCTTTCAGGAGTTGGTTACATTCTGTTCACTTCCAGTGGGCTGATCCACATATTGAATATTTTTATGTTCTTGCCTGTCAGAACACTCATTGTAAAGGACTGACAAAACAAACTGGATGAAATCACTCATTTTAATATTTAAAACATGAAGAAATCCCCAGCAGTAATTAGTAGGGTTAATTGCAATCACTTAACTACCATTTGTTTCATAAAATGAATGGAATCTTGCCATTTAGCAAGATAAACACTTTATCATGAAAACATGACCATAAATAACTCCATGACTATTCAGCTTGATCCTGATAGCTGTCAGAATGAGGCCACCCTAAACTATGCATTGGTCAAGAGTTATGCTTTGTCACATGCCCCAAAATAAGTTACACCAGTGGTTCAACTATTGTCAAGTTTAAGAGATGTGTGGTTTTCAATAATTTCATCTCAATTCAACCCAAATGGCATCATATATGTTGTTCACTAATTTTAAGAAACATCAACCTTGTGTTTTGGACTGTTTGAATACATGAATGAAACACCTGCTCATTAATCATGAATATTTATCAGTTCTATGAACAGGTATAGAACCAGACTAGATCTCATTCAAAACTGGTAATTTACATAGCTCACCAGAAAAAAAAAAATTCCTAACTAAAATTTCAAATTGATTTGTACAGAGTTTGATTTGCAATTTGAGGAACTATTATTTCAGAAATATTACATTAATGATTTTTTTTAAACAGATTTTGAAAAATATTAGTTAATAATTAAAAATTTTTTTATCAAGTTTAATTCATACAACTGTAGGATTGGTTTTCATTAACATCTTTTTCATTTCTTAATACTTATGATTTAATTTTCAATTTTGAATGTAGATTTGAATAAAAATAAATATTGATTGAGCAACATTGTTTTCATTTTTCAGTTATAGAACTTGTTTCATGATTGAAGTAGAGCGAAATTATTAAGCTCAGTTACAAAATAAGTAACACTGTATCATATTAATTTTTTTATTTTCAATATATATAATTGAAAATCAACAGTAAAAAAAAAGGGGGGGGGCAAAAAGTTATAGTTTAACACTAATGCAGCAGAAGATTACCTATGTGTTATTATGTACTTTAGAGGACACATGTAGCCATAGAAAAAATTACCAATTGCATCTTCATCCATGTGACAAGCTGCCTTCACCAACAGCACATAATATGAACATAAAACATTCACAAATAATGATATCTGGTAACTTAAAAGCACCTATAATACATAATAGAGATAATAATGTTTAATATAATTTACTGGTTTTCACTTTTACATAGTTTTAACAAGTTAAATTCATAATTAAATCTATTTTAAGACTATTTATTATTTTACTGGTAATGAAGTAAATCCAATAGTTTAAACTATTTAATATATAATAATTAATCATGCACAAACCTCCAAAACATTAGGTGGAACAGTATCAATCACATCTGGTATAACACCATATTCCTCCATAGCCTTCCAACTATTTTTAGACTATCCACCGGAGACAGGTTCCAAATGTTGCCCACCTTTCCAATAAAATAAAATAAAAGTTAACTAGCAATGTGTTTAAAAATCACTATATTGCAAGTGCAGATTATTCATGATCATTAGTGACAATTTACATCACCTTACTCCCGACCATCCCTGTAGCATGTGACTACACTTAAAAGTTGGCCCCGTTGTTGCAATTCAATACAGTGTGAAGACTAGTAAATACATGTAACACCTCATATTGACCCCTTCTTAAGGAAGGTTACATTACAGGATCTTCTGCTGTAAAATTATATTCTACAATTATAAAAGATACAAAGCAAAAATGGATATCTGTAGTGTTGAACCATGTTCATGATGTAAAAGGTGTAGTTCTAGCAAGATAAAAAGAAGGCTACTCTATGACCTGCTTCCAGTCATACACAAGATGTTGTGAAGAAAGTTAAAAATGCTTGTTAGCAGGAGTAACCCAAGAACATAGTAGTTCATTGCAGCCACAGTAGGAACTTCCTTTGGTAATACAAACAGGATAATTCACAAGTCTACAATAGCTACTCAGAAGCCATATTCACATGCTTTCCTTAAAACACAGTCCAATGGAAGACAAACTGACTAAAACAGTAAGACTGGAACCTGACAAGTGCAAGTATATCGTCACATTGGATGAAATACTCAAGTGAATGAGAAAAAACAAAAAGTAGGAATACCTCAGGAATCAGTACATAAGATTTACTTTTTCTGATCTATATTAACAATACTGATAGAGGCACAATTAATAACTGATCAAAGTTTTTGGATGACATTAAACTGTAGGGTATCTAACTGTAGTGACAATTTTGAAGTACTCTATAAGGATTTGGATAAATTAGGTTGCCAAATATTTAACAAATGAAATTAATAATGGGAATTACAAAATAATGCCTTTCGATTATCATAACTTGGATCACACGTTTAATAGAGATAAGAACCCACTCAATCGCATAACTGAAGAAAAGGATCTTGGCATAGTAATGGGTAAGTCAATCAGGCCATTGATGCAGTACTTTATGGCTAGTAGTAAAGCTATCAGAATTGTATGATGTCTTTGCACACATTGATTGTAAGTTAAAAGGTAATTACCTGTCTGAACAAATCATTTGTTAGGCCTCACTTGGAACATTGTGTACAGGTTTTAGTCTCCTTATTTGAGAAAGGATATTATTTTATTGGAAGGCTTTAGATGAGGGTTATCCAAGGTGTAATAAATGAAAAGAATGAGACTTAGTATTGTTTTAAGCTAGAAGTATGTAACTAAATTGCTTTACAATTTTGCATAGTTTTACGCTGGGGAGAATTTTTTTTCTCAACAAAATCACGTGTGGAATACTCACAGCACCTTCCAGCTTTCAAGAATGTGTTTGAGCAGAACTTTTTAAAGGTAAAACTTTAGTGCTTAGTAAAGTGCAATGAGAGCCAGAGGACTAAGGGGTCTGGGGGAATGCTCCACTTAAATCTTTAATTTAGCAAAATTGTGCATTTCCTTGATCACTGTGATGTTGTATAAAGCCAGTCAACCAACAAAAATGTAATTTTTTTTAATTAATTGTAACCGCTCTTTCATTTCAAATTCAACTAAACATGCAAGGAAGTTACAATGTGTGTTACCTGTTATGACACAAAATGTAATGTGTTAAAACTGGCCATCTGTTACACACCAAAATATGCATCATAATGCTGACACTCAAACAATCAACCATTTGACCTTTATAATAGCTCTAAAATACAAGTGTTTCTTAGTGGAAAGTTTAAATTGTATTTAATACAATTCAGAATGACAAAGAACAACTAACAATCTAAAGGGTAAGGATAATCACAATATTCAAATTAATATGAACAATAAATTGAAATTAAATAATTCACATACAAAAATGACGCAAGTCTGATTCATCAGGAGCTGGTGATGAGACAGCAAATGCATGAATCAGAACACTCAGCACAATTTATAGAAATAAGACACCATCGTTCGAGTCCATGACATAACATAGTATTTCAAATTTAGTAATCCCATTGAATAATCCAATCGAGCATGAAAATATGACCAAATGTGCGAGTGTCATACCCAGTACTTCAGTGTTGGTAGCTCTACACTCATTTACTGACTCAGGGTTTAGGTTACAAACTTTGAGTTTTAAAACCTGTGATTTTAAATGGAAGATACGTTCTATTCTATTGGCACATTTCATTGCTAGAGAGAGAAAAAACCGATACCATTCCGTTAAACCCCCACAAATGATAAGCTTTTACTATATGAATACAATGATTATTAATATATTTTTAGAAATGTATTATGGACATTTACTATGTGAATAAAATACATATTTATGTTTTTATATATATATATTTATTTATTTATAAATATATATTTTAAAAGTTATTGAAATTATGGGTGTATAACAGATAAAAGTACCAAAAAAATGAATATTAATTTTTTTATTAGTAGGTACTACTGAACAGAAACACCATCACATTTTGACACTGGTTCAACAAAAAAAAAAAAAAAAATAAGCATAAAATCTTACTACTCTCAGTAGATGGTATTCCTAGTTATAATCATTATTTTAATATTACTATTATTATTATTTACTATTTCAAGTATTTCAGTGTTTAGGTTCAAGGCCATATAAAATCACTTAAACTGTTAGTGTTAAAGTTAAACTTCAAAGTAATTTCAGTAAGATGGTAAGTAGTAAGTGAATGACAGACATCTTATATTTAAAAACCAATAAAAATAAGTAATGGAACAAGTTTTAACTTTTAAAAAATATCTTTAATTAGTTGCAAAGCTCTAGCTTATGCTATTCTTCCGAGATTTATGTTCGATGATACATGACACTGATACAGTGATAGTAAAACTAAGTGTTTTTCAAACAAAGTAGACTCTATGTTCTAGCTTTAGACCTCTTTAAATTATACGACTGTTGTATAGAACTCAAAAAACCTAAAGTTAATTTAAAAAAAGTTTAACACCTATTTTTAGGCCTAGGCCTATAAAGCAATTGATATTAATAATAATAAATTAGACTCATAAATGATAAAATGAAATTTAAAGTAATAGTAATATTTATAAGTTAATAACTATAGTAAAAGTTATAAATCAGTACAAAAATTATCATTACTTTAAACATAAATTATAACGCACTCTCTGGATAATTTATATAAGAGAACATAAAATAAACTTGTTGTATTACAATATTTTAATTTATTTCATAAAACATTATAAAATAATTATACAGCCATACTTAACGGTCACCTAAGCTCAAAGTAACAACAAACTTACAAATAAAAACGTGAGGAAGCACACGTCACAAAAAGCGGATTATAAATTGCTGTAAATGTTTCATTAATCAAAGATGTGTTATCGTCCAAGTTAATTTAACTGTTCGCTATTCATTCCGAAAGTATGGATATCACTATTTCACATATCTTTTGTATGTAAGTGTCACCATTATTATGAAGTAATAATAATAATAATAACTTTCATCATAAAGCTAACTTACTTAGTTACTATACAAACCACACTTAAATTAAAATGATTTAAAATGAAATTTATAAATTAATACTGTGAGATAGCGAATT